CCGCCGTCCGGGCCACCCCGACCCCCGGCGCCACGGCTGGCGGAGCGGCCGGAGCATCGCGGCCTCCGGCCCCACGCGGCCGTTGCCAAAGGCCAGCGGTCAGCAGCGGCGATAACACCGGCAGGCATTTCGTTCATGCGGTGGGGACACAAAAGCACCTCCATCCCAGCCCTCGGAAGAAGACGACCACTAGCCGCATCTTGCCCGTTTCTTGCCAGAAGCGGCCTAGAAACGCAGCCACCTCTGAAAGGGCTCCGGGGACATCAAGATCGTCCTGGATGGCACCACGGCAAACTGCAGGCTATTCCCAGCTCTTCCTGCGGCGGAGCGGAAGGAGGCGCTGGGAGCAGCGCGTGCCCTCTGGAAGGAACGGCCCTGACAACCGAGTCCTCACCTCCGGGCCCCGAATCCTCTCACTGGCGCAGAGGAGTGAAAACAGCGGTGAGCGGCACCTCCCGAGGGCTGCACGGTGCTGACGGCAGAGCCGCTCCTCTTGCAAACGTCCTTCCTGGTGCTGTGGGTTCCTCAGCTCAGCGTGACGGCCCCTCGGTGCTTTTGGCCTCGTCGCTGGTTTTCTCTGGCCCCGTTCTGCAGGTTACACCCTCGTGCTTTCAGCCTTGCCGGTTCTGTTGGCGCTTCCCCTGTTAAGTCCTCCTTCGCCGGCCAGAGCAGCCTGCCTGGGCGGCCAGCTGCCTGACGGTGGGCAGATGTGCCCCGGATGGCTCCCTGCGATAGTCTCACCCCACCGCAGTCGTATTACCGGCGAGCGAGGGACCGGGCTGGCTGTCACCGCACCGCAGCCTTTGATCAGTCCTACGGCTACAGCACTTCACCCTCCCCTCGAAAGGGAGCAACGAGCCCTGCTTGGGACAGCAGACAAAGAGATCGCATGCAATAAACGTTAGCAATGACTTAAATTAAAAAAAAAACAAACCACATACACACCACTACTTATATAACTTATGTAACTGAGCTTTATTTAGAATCTTTGGAAGTGATAAAACATCTCGTTTTACTGATATACGTAAACATACAGCCAAGAAATTTAATTGCTTTTTCCCTTGCACAGAAATGAACAAACCAGAGCACCTCAACCCAGACAAGCGTAATGCGAAGGTCATTATATAACTTGGTCCTGTACATACAGCACACGCTTCGCCGCATGGTCACTGGTTTATCAATCAGTCGCAATACGATTTTTGGCAATACTATATTCAAAACACAAAGTGCAAATTACAAGAAGCAGAAAACGTTATCTCCCATTCGGAGCAATGAGAAGTGCAAAATATCTCAGCCCGTAAATTCTGTTCTTTACGTCTATGAACAGTAGGCGCATAACCGGCGAATAAACAGCCACGTCAAACTTCATAGAGTAAATGTGGCGATATCTTAAGAGTACAAACGTAACGGTTATAAAAACATAAGCAGACAGACGAATCATTACATTTCGAGGGGACCTCTTCACATCTCACCTACCTGCACTGAACTTCTGCGATACCTGGGGCACTTTTGCAACCAAAGGCAGTTTGTTAAAAATTCTCCAGTTCAGTATGTCTGGACATATTTTTGTGTGTCTATAATCAAGGTGCCACTTCACGAGGCGACTCCACCAGTGCGGTGGGAATCCAGGCGCCGCGGTGCGTCTCCTGCAGGCACTACCAACAGAATACCCACACGTGGCGCCAGCAGGCTAAATGCACTCTGTGACCACCTGAGGTTAAAGACAACTTTGAAATGAAATCAGGAGAACGTTTTTGAGGAGCGCTAATCACAGCTCGCTTGTTGTGCCGTTTGGTGCTGAGGGGATCTGGGAGTGGTGGGGGGGGGGGGGGGGGGGACACCCGATCCAGCTAAAAGCCCTGTACTACGCAGTTACGCAGTTACTACAGATTTTGAATCCTCGTTCCATTTATTTTGAGGGATTTTTCACATACAACGAGCAGCCAATTCTGCAAGCGCCCCCCTGCCTGCGCTTCTCCCTGCTACGCCACGATCGTGAATTGTGCCGAACAGCCCAAACCAGGCTGGGCTGCTCCCTCTAACACCCCGCGGTTCCTCCGCACAGGAAGATTGAACCACAACGACTTGCGTTACCGTGAATCTGCCTGCCAAATTCATTTGCGAAATCACTAGGCCGCGGTCATATCATCACCGCAGGAACGGCTGTGACACTGTACGAAGGTGCTAGCTTTTTGGCGGCAGGTTCCCGCACCTCGTCCCTGCGGCCCTGTCGCCCCAGTTTGGCTCAAACCAGAAAAGAGGCAGCAAAAAAGGCAGCGTGGAGCCTCCTTCCCTGCCCTCTGCCCCGAGGGGGAAGTTGTCACCTACGCCTGCCGCAGCACTGCCGGAGCGGTCTCCCCCCAAAGCCCGACCCAGACGAAGAACCACCCTCCGCGCCGGGGAAAGCCTCCTCCTGCGCTCCCCGCCCCGGCGGAGACTCCCGGAGAGCTGGAAACGGTTTGCTGGTTCGGATGAACTCCATCTCGCCGTAGAGGCGGCGTGCGGAGGGGCGACGGCTCGCTATCGCTCCTAGACCTGCCGGGTCCCGTTACTGGAGCAAACTTTTGTCATCATTAAAGCTTGGGGAGGAACAATTACGCTGCACCTCGGCACAACAACAACTGCCTTTGTGCGCAACGTCCCCGGCACGCATCAGCACATTTCTTCTTCTTTAAAAATATTATTAGAATAACAGAAGATATGTTGCTGTTCATGCATCGCCAATATCTGAGAAGGCTCGAATATTTTAAAAGCCTAAAAAATTGTATTTCCCTCTCCTCTAGTTTATTTTTCATGCTAAAGGCTGCAAATTGACACATCACAGTAATTACCTCTGACTAACTTCCACAGACCGACCCAAAGAGATAAACATGAGAAGTTCACATTTGACTATCAGACTTACTGTGCCGAGCACAAATAATTTCCCAGAGGAGAATTTGATATTTCATCATTTGGAACAGTGGTAATTTAATTACATTGCTAATGTTTTCTGGCATACTTGAAAGGACAATTAGCATAAGTAAATCATGAGTGAGATGACAAGTCACTCAGCATTTATTTCTGCTCATCAGATGAGATCAGCTGATGATCAAATTCTCTTGCGTGTGTGAACCGACTCCAGGTTCGGCAGTTGTAACTGGGGTTCAGACTGGTGGGGATAAACCCATGCATAGATAAAGCAAAAAGGACATTATTCTTTAAAGTTTCCTAATCAAATTTGTTCAGAGAAAGCTCCAAAGCCACCAGAAGCAGGAGAGGGCGGGCAGGCAGGCAAGACCGACTGATAAACGCGGAGGGCTAAATGAAACTGGAGATGCATATCAGCAATTCTGGCAACGGGATGAATACAGAGTCATTTCTGCCACCGTTTGCTTTACATCCTGCTCAGGGCTGAACAGTATTATAATAGCTCGACTGATGTTCTAAAATAATTGTTATTTATCTCCGCGAGGGCAATGCCACTCACGATAACACTGTTAACGTGACGGTTCCTTTCTGGCGTTTGAGAATGGCTACAGCTTGCTCGTGAGTGACACCTTCCAAAGCTTCCCCGTTAACTGCTAAAATCTGATCGCCGCGCTTCAGTCTGCCATCGTCCGCAGCTGCTCCCTGCAAAGGACAAAACGCTGCGTTAGGGGCTGGCGGGACGGAGCCCTCCCTTCCGTCCCGATGTCCGATGGGTGAAACGAGCAGGGATGCAGCCCTGAAGTCGCACCTTAACTGGGCGGGGGCACCCGGGACGTGACAGCAGCTACACACTTTGGAAACGTCTCGGCCGCCTGAAGCCCGGCCCCCCGCTCGCCCCACAGCCCAAGGCCAGCCGGATCGGGGCACCACCAGCCGGCACCCGCGGGAAAAACAGAGAATCGGCTCGCTCCGTGAAAAAGCCAAAGCGTAAAGGCTGGCTCTGGGTTTTACGATGATGCGGAGACTTGTTAAAGCAGCGTTTAAACGTACAAACCTCTCAGCACGCTCTGCAGCTAGCGCAGAGCTGCAGGTTAAATGGGGGAGGAGAGAGACGGCAGAGTTCAGGCAAGGGAACGGCCTGGGCACGGCCTGAGCCCCGACTGACCGAGGTCTGCCGAAGGCCCTGGCAGCTCCCAGCGAGGTTGCGAGCTCCTTTTGAGCGCCTCGGTCCAGCTGTTTGCCTAAATCCCGAGCTCCTGCCCAGGCCCAGAGGTGGCATCTCTCCCTGCCTCACGTCCGCGTTAGTGATTGCAGCTATTTGGGATTTCGCTGCTGTGCTCACATCTAGAAACCGGGGCATGCTGGTAAATCTAAGCATTAATTTAAAGGCACAGTATCTTCCCATGCTAATAACTGAAAATTGCGAAAAGACCAGAAATTTGCGTTCTTAGTTCCTGGCATTGTGGAAGTAGAAGAGATATGACTTCCAAGCCTCCTTTACATGACATTTTCTTAGTTATGTCATCTACTTTGTCAGAGACGCTGACGTGACAGCAAGTAAGCACAGGACAATGTTTGGTGACCGACTTCAAAGTTACTTTATGCAACATGCAGAATCCCAAATTCCCACTGTTTTCCCACACCACCATTTCCAAAATCCCTTTCATGAAGTCATGGCTAAAATAGCTTGTTGGCAGATGCTGAGAGTATTCCCAGCAGCTGCACGGGCGAGAAAAGGGCATTTCTCCCTCTGCGTCTGTGGCTGTTTTGGGGGCGTTTTGCCCCCTCAGGATGAGCCTGTACTGAACTGTGCTCCCCGTTGCTCCTCAGTCCTGGCAGCCAGGAGGCTGGGACCCCGAGTCCTCCCTTGCCCTGGTGGGAGAGGAGAGCAGAGTTTCCTTCCAGGCTCTCCATCGCGTCCGGGCCGTCTGACCGGCTCTCTCGCGGTGTTCCACCTCCCACGGCCTTGACGTACAGTCCCGTGGGGAACGGCTGGCCGGGGAGCTCTGCTCCATGCTGCTGCACTGCATCAGGTGTGACAAGACCTGCCGAGTGGCAATGGTGGGAGAAGGACTCGAGTTGTCATTCTTTGTCTCTTCCTCTGCATGAAGAGCTTAGGGCCTCAAAAATGGTTGAGGGCAACTTGGCCTCCTGCGCCTCTGCTGGAAGAGCCGCTGGCAGTTGCTTTGCTGGCGATACGGGTTCGGGTTAAAGACCGGTCGAGACGCAGAATTCCCACTGTGAGGGGCTCAAATACACTCAACATGTCACAGCGTGACAGGGAGACACAACATGACAACTGCTGTGCTGGCACGGCCCGGGGACACTGCGCACGGAGCGTATGCCTACAGGAAAGCTTGCCTGGGGAGGGTGCAGACAGACGCCGCCAGCGCAGCGCAGCTCCCAGCAACGCCGGCTTTGGGCGTTCCCTGCCTTCCCCCCTGCTGCCACACGGCCATCCCTGGGGGGCTTTTCCAGGAGGCTTCGGGGGATTTTTGGGGGGTGGAGGGAAGGGAAACCGATGGGTTGTGACAAATAGCACATCTAGGGGAGAGGAGCACTCATGGAGAGGCATGAGAAGAAACTGGAAGCAAATGAGAATAACTAAAGCCAATATTGCTGTGGGAACCATCAGGTCGCAAGCTACGGCACTTTTTCACTCAGTGTCTTCTCATTGAGATGACTATCTGGATGGATAGCATGGATTTTTATTTCTGCTTTTGCAGCTGAAGTTTAGCTACAAAGATACAACGTCTCTGCAACTGTCTCCTCACAACTACAGGGGAAAAAACGATACCTCTGTAAGGCACTTCAGGATTTCCAGATGTAAAATTGCCTTATAAATATATTAATGATTAAAAAGATGCTTCCCATGTACACAGAGCAATATTGCTGAGATAAAGTATCTTGTTGCCATCGGTAATGTGAAATATAAACTTTTCCTCTGAGAAGCCAGCTGTGAGTTCTGGGTCCAGCTACTGACCTCCGTGTGCACATACCCAGACAGTACCTTTTGCTTTGGACTACATAGATATTATCCAGCTTACGTTTAAAGAGAACATAGAAAAAAGGGAGAAAACAAAAAAAGATACCTTGGCAAATATAGTCTTGACATAAATGGGCAGGTCTCCATGGGGACTTCCATACCCCCCTACAATACTAAATCCCAGTCCATCAGAGCCTTTCTCCAAAGTAATAATCTTAGGTTGAGGTGCTCTGAAAACACAATAAATATCACTTAGAAGAACAAGGTCTGTCTCTTGGGACTTTCTGTAGAAGGAATACTTAAAGAGACGTTTATCTATGAGGAAGCTTTTCATACAGTCACAAACCATGACTCTGTACCTGTGCTGAGACACACTACTGTGCAGCCCTGAGCTCAAAAGCTGCTCCACATACTCACTTTTAAAGAGCTCTTTATTTTCAAAGTGAGTAACTGAAGTATCTGTGATGCAGGAGTGAGACTCCTCTAAGTTACAGTTGCTGCACATATTTAAGCAAGAGTTTGCTTTCACACAGGTCCAGCTGTCTTCTTCAGTATGGATAAGCAGGAACCACAACAATTCCCTGGCAGCATAGCTTTATTTTATGACCTCGGAGCAATGAGTCTAATGGACAGGATGCAACCAGCAGCACTTGGGTTTATAATCTCAGCAGTACTGCAGGCTCTTCTGGCTATTTTCAAACAAGCTAAATTCCACGTACGTCCCTGTGCCTCACATTGCCTGTGGCCAGCTCCAGAGAGCTCCTCGCTCAGTGCCTTACCTAGGCCCTCAATTGCTCTTCAGAGGCTTCTCCTGTCTGCATCGAGTAGAGAAAGATTTTTAGGTGGAACTGAGACCACTCATATCTATATATCCATCTCAAGTTTTAAAAAGTTGCTTCTACATATTTAGAAAGAATCTGGACAAAAGCTGTTTGGCATCTTCCTCCTAAACAAGGCACAGTCTATGACGACCAATATCTAGTCATTTCTTTAAGGAAAGAATGAATGCATACGCCTACCTAATTCGGTTTCATATTTTAAAATTCAGATTTCCTGACTATTTTGGTGGAAAAAGAGAATACAGATCCTTTTCTGAGGTAAGCAATTCTCCTTTGAGAGAAGCAATAAAAAGAGTACTGCACATTGTAAAACTAGACAATGCAGCATAAATAGCTTAACTTTTATACTCGTAAACCCCTGAGACAGGACAGCAACTTGCATCTCAGCTTCTTAAAATAAATATAATGAATCAAAGAACAAAAATGAAGAACATAATGATGCAAATGAATCAAAATGAAGATCAAATGAATTTCAAAATGATAAGTGGAATGCTGTAAGCTGTGCTAAAAAACATATGATGGAGAATGTTGCATGGCCATGGGAGGGCTAGATCTCTAATTTCTATCACCATATTAAAAAATTGCAGTAGGTAGAAAATTCATTAAGCAGATGTAGTAGAACTGTAGAGCTCAACAGATTCAAAAGACAAAGAAAAGAGGGTTCTTGGACATGTTTTGAAACATTTCTCTCTGATACCAGTTTTTTGCATATCGCTTGTCTCAGTTTGCCCATGACAAATCATGTTGAACTGCTACGATCATAACCTGTTTCAGGCAAGGAAGCCAACAGACGAGGACAGACCCACCATGTTAGGTAACACACGAGAAAAGAAGGGACATCAGTTTTTGGAAAAAGTCAAGAACAGGTGCTTGGAAACACATTTTGTGCTCCTTTACTCGGGCAGTTTCCATTACCAGGTGAAGATAGACACAGGTCCAAAATCAGCTCGGAGAAGGTAACAGTTACCATTTTAAAGGTGATAGAAGTTAGACGAGAGAGAAGCAATGAGAAGAGACCTCCTTCGCCACCCTAGGCTTTTCCTTTACATGAGGCACAGAAATGCATCCCAGCTACACAGATGAAGCTCAGACTCACTCAGGATCTTCAGAAGGATGCTCCGACGAAGAGTTAAGGTTGCATCCTGCAGACATGCTCTCCAGCTGGGTAGCAATGGCACTGATGTTAGTGTCAGCCACAACCTAAACAAGAAGATAGATGTATTGAAGTACTGTGCATCGTCACCTCATACCAAAGCCATCTGTGCTAATTATGTAGAAAACAGCCAATCCACTAGGAAAAACAGATATTGATGTGTTTCAATCAAATTTCAAATACAAATCCTACTCTCTTAAATTTCCTACTAACGCTAACTTTGCTCTGAAGCTTTCTATTGCGTTAACACGACTATCACATGCTGTCCAGGGTGTTCCTGATGACAGGCAGAAGAGGTTACTTTGTCAAGGAAACAGGTGCGTCTCAGAGTCAACCTGAGGTGCTAAGGATTGACATGGGCCATCAAAGTAAAGGTCTGGCACACCAAGCACCTTAGTCTATAACAAAACGCAGAGATCCAAGAGTCTATTGGACTCTCTGGCCCGTGAGGCAAAAGCCCCGAATTCCCTCAGCGCAGATTAGCTGGAAGCGATGAGATGCAAGGGCCTCATTCCCACCCCCCTTGCCCACTGTGTCTCCTTATGTGATCTCTGGTATAGCTTGTTTGCTGAATGGGGGAAAAAAATAATCCTTCGTTTCAACGTTTCTGCCGTTTCTCCCGCACTTTCCATCATGACCACTAACGGCAATAGACTGCATTTCTTAAACTTTCCAAACCTGGCCCCTGTATTATTCTGACATCATCCTGAATTACTATCACCAACTAATTCATATAGTTAATGATATTTTCACAGGTAATGAGGCAGCAAACCTGCACAGGCTTTCTGAAACAATCATATCAATGTTTTATAGGTTAGTTACCAAGCCAGCTAGTGAGTACCGATGTATTGAGAAGGGGTTACTTGAACACTGAGGTCTGGGTTTTGCCATCCACAGGGGTTTAGCCTCCTAAGGAAAAGTCTTGCAGTATGTAGGCCCGATGGGGCTAGTTAAAGACAAAGTGTCAATACCCTCTAGATTTCTGTTGTTGTTAAAACTCTCATTGTATGCTAATTTTCTATTCTTTTCTTTTTCTGGAAAAATGTGAGGAAACCGCCATGAAGTGTTTTGGATTCTTCTAAGTATTCACAGCTGAGAGCACATACATTTCATACCAACTATGTGTAGCAATAATTCCCTAACTTCAACTCTTTCTGATGAGATATTGTGCTCTTCTGGATGCTTATTGTACAGCACGAGAGTTTGGGTCGGAGACAGTGACAACTACCTAATGATTGTCAAAGTTACTCTAGCTCTCTATGGCCTTATTTTATCAGAGTTAATGGGCACTTTTTCTACTCCCTGCTGCGAACATGGCTTAGGGGAAACATACCTTTTCAAAAAAAAAAATTCCATTATATAAATAACCTGTTTTAAAAGTATGCTCACAACTCTTCCACAACAATATTTTCTCCTTTTTAATCATTTGGAAACAAGAAGGCTTGTGGCATTTTCAAGGGGAAAAAAAAAAAACAACCCAGTTTTGCTGCAAACATCACGTCCCAGCACTCAGGTTCCTGGGTGTCCTTACTGAGGGGGTCCAGCAGACAAGATAACTGCCCCTGACTCAGACAGAAAATACATCACCAATTTTCTTTCCCATTTCAGTAAAGGAAAAGAGTGCCAGTATTCCTCATATTTTGTTGCTAAGTGAAACGAGGGCAGAATAAATCTATATTCAAAAATCTTCAGCTGGCTCTAAGAATGTATCAGAGTTCAACAACCTTGTAAAAAAGCTCCCCCTTATCTCATTACTACACCTGCAGAAAAGAAATTAAATTAAACCAAAGCATCAAAACAGCCGGAAGGGATGATTGTTCCCCTGAGACCCTAATCTCCCATTTGCAAACAGCATTTGCAAACTCCTTTACCATCCTTCCCAGGACGTACTGATAATAAGCCTTTCCACACCACTGAACACAATTATCTGACCTTTCAAAGCGGTTTGCCATGAAGTGGTCTAACCTGATAATAAATAGAATTACTTAATGACACATCAGTCATGATTATCAGGCTGATAGGATTATTCCACTTATATTGTTCTAATAAAAAAGCAATCCAGTGATTGAGAAGTACCTGTGGTTAGCATGTAACGCAACCACATCACCATGCCCACGGCAGGGCTTCCACGCTGCTCCCCAGTGGCGCTAAACTCTAACCTCCTACCTTCACATAACAGGATTTTAATACAGAAAAACGGACTGTATTCTACCAGAATAAACCTGTGTCGTCTGTAAAAAGTATTAAGTACGTTTTAAGCTACGCAGCAAAAAAGTGGAAGAAAAACCCTCAACTGACAAAGTAAAGACATTTCTAGAACAAGCTCTTTGTTTATGCAGTGAGCAATTGACAGTGTGCTTCATCAGGAATATTTTAAATACATGATGAGGTAGAATATTCTGTATTACAGCTTTCAAGATTAGCAATTTTGGGTTCTGCAGCAAGCTTTCACATTTCTGTTCAGGGAATACTGTTGACATGAAAAGTAAAGTTACTCCGTGTTAGTAACAATATGATAACTATAATTTAACAGAAAATCCTCAGCTGGTGCGTATCTGCGTAGTTGGAAGTTCACAAATACACCATCTGCTCTGGAACTGGCTCATCACTTACCTGGTCAGCAGTTTGTGGAGAGACAAAACAAAGAATAAGCAAGTCTAAAACTAAGTTTGTTATCATTCCATTTCTTTTTGGCATTTTTCTTATAGTCATATTCATTTTTGCAACACAAAGTAAGAAGCTTACAACAATGTCTCAGACGTGTTCAAATCCAATATGCTATGATGATAAAGAAAATTAGAGTGGGTTTTTGTGGTATGTCTTAAGCTTGTTTTCTCATTGTTACAATAATTCTGCAAATGAGTAGTAGCAGTATTCTGAATGCTCTCTGGCAAGTATTTTTCCTGTTTCTTTGTGTAAACATAAAAATAAACTAAAGATGAATATACTGGCAAGCAGCAATTAGAGCCCAAGTGGCAGAACATGTCTTGCTTTTAGCTAGCAATATAAACATGGCAGTGATACCACTTTTTTTCTCTCAAGTGTTATTATTCATTACCTGTAGAATAATCAATTCTAGACAGCACCATCTTAATTATGATGCTATCATTTACACTAAATGCAGCGAGCATTGCTTTCTTTTCCCCCTTTCAAGAACAAGGGAATTAGCACTGTGGACAGTGAGGTCACAGTCTAGTAGCATGAACACACACATAAACACACACGTAATTTCTTGTTCCTAGCTAACTTCAAATTAAAAAAAAACAAACTTGAAAGCTTGTTGATTTATCATGTGTAGCAACAAGTCATTTTGTTCCCTTTGTTATGCTTTTATATAATCATGCTCACAGCCTGTATGGGTGGCAATAAAGAATTTTTGAATGAAAATTATTTCTTGCTTTCATTCTGTGTAATTCCCACCAGCAAGCACCCTGCAATTCTGTGATGCCTTGTGCCAGTGATGCTTAGGATTTTTTTTCCCTGAATGCCATTTATCTACCCTCATGCAGCTGCATGTTCAATTTATCACCATACCTGCAGGATAATGCTCCCATAAGCATTCTTTAGTAGATTAACAGCATCTGCATGAGACAGCCCATCCAAAGGTTGCCCATTAATACTGACAATCCGATCTCCAACCTAAAAGTACAACAGTAATGGAAAATTACCAGTATTAGGGAAAATTAAAATTAAGAATGCTTAAATTTCCTTATGAACTTGGCACTTCACTCTCATACTTCTCTTTTCCAGGATTCCTCTCACGAGGATTCTGCGTCGCTAGTGATCATTTACCATTCTTCAGAGCGAGGATGATATGGGTTTTTAAAATATAACAGTGCAATCAGAGAAACAAAGGTAGCTTGCATTTTACTATTTCCATTTACAAGCAGAGGGAGTGACATTTTTCCCTGTTGTTATTCCACCCACAGAGGATTTGAGTCCATGTGTCCAGACAAGTTCATATTCTTACAGATTATGGATGCACATGCTGAATGCAGTATAGGAAAGCAGGCACTTCTGATATTAATCTAATTAGCATTACGACTTTTTGTTCTTATACGTGAAACCTATCTTGACCCTGGCACTGAGTGCTCTTGTGCAATTCTATTAAAGACATTGTATGAGAATAATGGCATTTGCTAATGAATCTCATGGCAGAATCGGGGACACAATTTTCCTATATATCTGCATAATAAGTTCTTTTTAGCAATAAAGATTCCCTGAAACTTTCTCCATAACTATGGAAATGCTCACCACAGTCATTCCTGAAAACCCAAATATCTGGCGAGGAACACGTCCCTGCTACCCTGCAGGTAAAACAACTCCCCTTTTCCTGTAGCCTGATGTTATTATGGCCTACTTTATTTTGGCATTTCTTCATACAGGCCTTAGGATCAACCAAGTAACTTCTGATCTAGTTTCTACCTTGTCTGAGCTCTAAATGATGCCCCATCTGCAGCCCCGGGAACAGCCCATTCTTCTTTTCTCCCAGTCCAGTTGGACACACTGCAGAGCTTCCACCTTGTTTCTCGCAGCTCAAATGCATCTGAAGATTGCCGCAAATGCACGCACGTTCTCTCTCTTAACATTACTTTTCCATGTGGACAACCACTGCAATTATCCCAGGATGCAACATAATCAAAACGGGAAGAGAAGGGCAGGTTTTTTTTTTTAAAACAGAGAGCAGCCTATGAAGCAATATCAAGGTGACAGCCATACATGGAAATGTTTGAGGCTCCTTTGCTGGAGGAAACACGGCAAATGCAATAGAAAGTACTGAGTGGACCGTTGTACTCACTTTGAGTCTTTGAGTACGTGCAGCCACGCCACTGGCTTGAATCATGGCAATGAAGATGGGAATATCTCCTAACGGACTCCCCTTCCCTCCTGCTATGCTGATACCAAGTGCATCATTTGGTCCCTAAAGCAAAACAAAAAACATTTGCAATTGCAGCAACTCAGAGAGGTCAATGTTCAGGGTGTAGCAATAACCGATCTTTTTGATCTATGGAACAGACTGAAACAGGTTTGATGTACGCACACATCCTCACACACAGGCCCTGTTGTACAGGCGTACATTCAAAAAAACCAAAAAATCATAATGCAGTTTTACTCTGAGAAACACAATAGAATTAACACCTTCAGTTAAAGGTGACAGCTTTTTGAATTGATAGAAAATAACTCACTGACCCTTGTTATCTCCACAGTCCTTGGGCCCATATCTGCTCCTCCTAATAAAGAAACAAACAATTAGCTTCTGTAATTAAGAGATAATATAATTAAGAGATAACACTGTCAGGTGACGATGGTCCCTTGCTGCCTAGTCAGAGTTATCACCAAGCAGAAGCAGAGCCTCCCTGTGCCAAATCGGCAGCGCTGCTCACGTGAGGAGGACGGGATTTCTGTTTCACCGGGAGATGAATACGGCTGTAATGGCTCTGTCTGGCGGATGCCACTGTGACGCCCATTGTAGCACAGCCCTTGCTCACCATAATCTACTGAATAGCAGCACTCTGCTGGCCTAAAGAAAAGCCCTATTGTGCATTTCACTCAATTAAAGATTGGCTTATTATTCATAAATCACGGTGTCCCTACCACAAAGGCTAGGGCACATGTCTCGTTTGAGACTGCTGAGGTTCCATTGATTTCCTGTTCTAATTTGTGCTGTATTAGTAAATAATAGACAGCCAGGAAGTCTGGCTGGCATATATCTAGCTACAGGACATTTAAAAGTACTCAAAGCATTATTAAAAAAAAAAAAAAAGAGAGAGAGATTGAGGCACTTCAGAGGAATCATTTGAACTGGGATTCAATAGCCTAGAAGTTGATGGTATGTTAGGTCTTGGGCTCTGCTACAATAATCCCTAATTCTCACAGCTTTAATTAAAACAATTTTAAGAACCTTTTAGAATGCAGATACAATTAGCCTCTTTCAAGAGTCAACGGCTCTTTTTAACACCTATCAGTATTTCTCCCTGCCACACACATGTGCTTGTGCAGATATCTGTTGTGAATACACCAGGCAGGATTGCTGAGGTGCGGTGTGCGGTCGGAGACAGCGGACACCCAAACCAGTGCAAAGCTAGAATCAGGGTACGCAGCCATGCGCAATTAGTGCTACAAGGCCCTTCAAACTGGTTGAAAGAAGGCTTCCCAAACTGCCACATATCTTCTCCCAGGCATGCAAACAACCACAATAAATGTCTTCTACTTCTGCCCACGGTCAGAAGGTTAAAAAATAAGGTTAAGACTTTCCGGCACAGGTGGGAGCACACAAATGTGCAGGCCCTCTACAACCTATTGGAAGCTGTAGATTTAGTGCTCACTAAATCTGCAAACTGCGCATTGTGACTTTCTCGTTACAAAATGCCCTTTTATACACTCAAGAATAACAAAGATCCATATGAAATGGTGGCAGCTTTATTCACTGAGAAAACTGTTTCTGATGTCAGGGAGCACCTTGCCTGTTCTAAGCCTCAGACAAGGACGCCTGGGAATAGCAGGTGCAGGAATTTTACATTTAAAATAGAGGAGCCATTTCTCTACTAGTACAAATAAAAATAATGTCATCTGCTGGAAAGTGTTCAGAGTCTTCTCCCAGTATCTTCTGGGAGACTGATTAGGAAAACCAGATACAAGTATTAAATCTTATTTTTAAACTAGCACAAATAAAAAGCAGCACTGCCAACAACATGCAGCTGTTCTGACGGCTGTCTAGGTTTCACAGGCTGTCTCTGACCTGTCATACCTGAGTTTCTCTGAGAGACATCTGCTGAAGATCTCTTTGTGCTGACAAAATTCTGCAAAGTAGAGATGACTGGAGCAAGCGCGGGATGGAAGTGACTGTGGACGCTCTGTTGGCTCGCCTGAAGGCAAAAATACATCACAACCTCTGAGTCAGACCTAAACGGTAATTTTAAGAGAGTCCCTGCACTATAAGGGCTCAAGGGTGCCCTCAGAAATACCCACCGGATCGGAAACACCACATCAGGCACACTCCATTTTCAAAGAGGAACTTATTAAAACCTGTCCCTCAGCTGTGGGCACACGTGACATTGCTCGCAGTGCTGAAGGCTGCATTCCACTCCTTTACGTACACACCCGAGGCTCAGCTCTGCCCCAGAGGCCACGTGGAGTCGGACCAGCCGCCCCAGGGCCTGTTCGCAGCCTCCCGCGGAGCTGGGGCACCGCTGCAGCTCGCTGCCGGCTTCACCATGATGCGCCGTATAAGCATCACATCATGTGACGAGCATGTATCGGTCCCCTGACGGGATGAGCTCACGGCTCCTGCCGCACACCGAATGCTTATACCCATCCTGTTACACGGCAGTGATCTATAGGCTTCGCCGTTTTAGCTGAATGTATTGTCTAAGGCCCTGCAGTTGACCCTGCTCCCTGCGTTCCACCAAGGACCTACCCTAATCACCAGAATAACACCCCCGAGCAGAGGAACACGCTGGTATTACCACCCACAGAAGGGAAGGCTCCAGAGAAACCTGCTCGTGTGCATTATCACTTCTTGGCCGTTCACTTCCAGCACTACTTTACCCTACCTCCGTATCTTGCTTTATCTTCAGGCTCTCTCTCTTAGAGGAAACATCGTTATCGATTTAGGACGTGTATCTGAACCTGAGGTTTTGCCAGACCTCTGCAGCTAAGCTGGCGTATACAAAACAAAGATCTGGTCCATACTGCTCAGCACACAGTAGAGCTTGCTGCCTCTAAACGCATTAGGCAGCAAATCAAAAGCTCTGGCAGCATTTCTCCTAAGTGACCAGTGCGCAGCTGCCAGTGACAAACAACAGGCAGAGCCCAATTTCCATGTTCAGTTGCCAATTCATGGGTCACTTAACACAATTTGCCATGCGTGTGAAAGAAATCACGGTCCTGCACCACAAGGCTTGTAATTCTACAGTTAAAGGTACGCAACGGACCCAAAAAAGCCAAGGGAGGACAAAAGTTCTGGATGCTCTTGGCCAGCAGCTTCTAAAATGCCACTCGCAGTTGTGCAAATCATTCAGGCTGATTTGCCGTATCATCTGCCAAGATTTTTATAACACTTGGAACTGTTTTGCTGAGAAGCATTTATTCAGTTTTCAAAATCAGCAAGTCAGTTTGGAGCCTGAGTTGTGTTTTCCAGTGAGATGTAGGCTCTCAAGTGACTCTGCATGAAGAACAGCCATTAAGACTTTTATTAAAAGAAGTTAAGAAGTAACCAGGTTCCTGCAAAAGCCTTCTACGGTACAAAGAAAGGGGGATGAAGTTCTCAGTTTTTGAACTCATTTTCTACATAGAATCACGTTAGATACTGTGGCATTTTGCTTCCCTTTCAGCTGAGTTTTTAGCTCTACTTTGTAAAATTGGATGGACAATTTTTATCCCGCACTTTCTGATTACGTTGCTGTCTCTTAGGTTAACTGTGGATACACTGACCAAAACAGTAATAATCGAAGCTGTGGTCTTTCCTTAATGCAATCAGTATCCTCTCTATTTTTTCATTTTTCCTGCCTGCTGCATGCAATGCTGATGTTTCTCCAAAGATATTTAGTCATTATTTTAAAGCTGGGCTTCGCACAGCCATTCCCACATGGATATGGGTTCCTTAGCCCTTACTGACATGTCATCCTCATGGACGCCAGAGTGGATTGCTGCCGTCCTTTATAAAGTTAAGAAAATATCCCCTAAGATTTAGATACCCTTTTTGGGTTGTTCATGCACAACATCAAGGGCACGCCTCCCCTCCTACTGAAGGGGAGAATTGCTTTTTTTCCTTAAAAACACTCCTGCTTTAACTTACACCCCTAAGCCTCCTACGGCTTCTCCTCTCTATTTCCAAAATGAAAAACTTAGCATTTGTGGGGGGTGGGCTGGATCCTAGGGGTGATGCTTGCTTAGCTATCAGTGCAAAGCAGTGCCTGGGAAAGGGATGTGTGTGGGAACTGTCCACCCCCACGTCCCCAACAGCTGGCTATGTGCAGACAGCAAAATACTCCGTAGCAACAGCACTGCTGTGAACCACAGCTTATCTCTCTCTGGGACATCAGCAGCCTAAATAGGAAAGGAAGGAAAATCCAGAAGGAAAATCCATCAAAAACCTCCAGTTTTCTTAGTCATCTTGCCTTGCTTCTCTCCCTTGCAGTACTCAGATTTTAGTACTAATGATATCAGTGTCTCAGCTAGTGGTGGGAAGGAGAGAGGAAAAGCCCTGCACTGACTGAAAAATGAATCGCTGTCCTCGCTTCAGGTGAAAAACAAGTGAAGCAGGAAATTGCTCTGTGTTTTCTTCGAGAGCAAGCAGCTCTCATGTGGTTCTGCCATAAGATAGGCAAAGATACAGTTCAGTTTAATTAACCCATTCTGATTGACAAAACAGCTGCAGAACATACATTCAGCATTTTGCTGGTCTAAAAAAATTTCTGCACATCATCATTTGAGAAAGAGAGATTAAATGTTTGTGGTGTGTCTCAGGAGCGGGCTCCTTAAAAAAAGGATTAACTGACTCTTCTACTTACTCAGCATTTCTGCATATGACACTTAACTCTATAAACACTTTGCAGTTCAACACAGGAAAATAAAATCATCATGATAAAGGATTTGGCTCTGCATCCTTGGCTGTAGAGGTCTACGGAAGGACTGGGCCCCACCTGCACCCTTGTGTGCGCTGTCCCTTCACAGTTTCTTTTACAGTTATGAAATCTGTCGCTAACCTGACTGTTCTGGGATGTTTTCCGTGATGACAGCCATGATCCAGCTCGCAGTCTCCCAAGCTCAAGATGCACGAGGCCTTGGGCACACTTGGGGGAAAAAACAAAACAAAACAAAACCACAGTGTGCAGCATTTAAGGAGACATACAATGTTTCATGCTCTCCTGGACAGAATCATGTTTGTTTTCAGAGTGACAACTCTGAAGAAACCACAAGGAACTGAATGCTCACGACTTCAATGTTTTCATTTGGACAATACAAAAAACCCTAAATCCAGGGACCGATGTATTAGCTACCGTACCTCCTGAAGCCAGTATGAATCTTTCTACTGGCACAGCAGTTCTTAGATCGCACTGTAGATGGCCAATTATTCACTCAAAAAAACCTTCTATAACAAAAACTTGCCACAAACAACACTCGTGAAAAACACTTCAGAGGAAAAACACTGCAGAAAAGGGTGAATCTAAATTTAGGGCAGGCAGAGTCAACTAAGTAATATACCCTCGTATTACCAACTTCAAATTTTCAAATAGGTAAACTTTTGGCCAAGTATTGAGCCTGCATGGAAAAAGTATGGAAAAATACAGCCCGTCTCTTCAAGAAAAAAAAGAAATCGTACGCGGAAACACTGGTGGCGACAGCAGGGAAAACGGTCCTTGTCTCTAGATAGCGTCCGGAGTAGAAATTGGTCAGCAGCTGCACTCACCTCTTCCTTTCACCCTCACCGCAGGGTGTCGGGCCGGGTGTCTACGGGGAGAGCTAGCGACGGGCACGCGCAGCCCGACCAGCCGCAGGCCCTCTGCTACAACTCACGCACGGCAGCAGCCACGTGCTTTCTAACAGAAGAGGGCAAATTCTGTCAGGCCCGAGTGCTTCAAAGTATAAACCCACCCCTGCAGGACAAAAAGCTGTGCAGAAATGGATTTAAGAGGCAATTTTATATCTGCAGGTTAGCACAGCAAAGCCAGAGGCACTTCGGTTCAGCACCGTTCTGATTTGTAGGTCTCTCAGGTTTTGTAGTATGTTTCTAACGTACGAAATATATGGCTTTTTCAAATAAACGTCTAAATACTACATGTATCTCTGTTTTCCCACCTTATATCATCCCCACTTCTAAATATACATGGAGAAGTCATTTCAAATGAATCTCCCAAAGTAATTTCAGATGAAATTTGTCTGGGTAATCAGTTTGAGTTGTCCTGCCTACGTGTAAATAGCACTTCAGGACAATTACCTTGCACAATATCGGTAACTGCAGTTCACTATCTTAAAATGTATTATGTACTCACCTTAAGTATAGTGGCAACAGTCTCTTGTGAGGCATTTCTCATATCCTCTCCATTAACAGACAAAATCTGATCTCCTTGAATTAATCTTCCATCTAGGTCTGCAGCTCCTCCTTTAACAATGTCAGAGATAAACACTCCACTTCCATTTCTGACAATGCAAGAAGCATATGGCTAATCACACAATCCAATATTCTTTGAGAGATCAATTTAGATTACTTTCATTTAAGAGACATTAAAAGAAACCTGTGAGCAGGGGAAGCACGAGTTATACACTCCATTCATGCATTTGAGCGTAAAAAATCTATGAGTTTTAAAATCAAGGCATGTTTTGCTATTTCTAATGCTGCCTTTTCCTTCGAACTGCTAGTTCTGACTGTATGATCCATAAAGACTCATGAAAAATAGCACTTGCGTGAACAAAAAGCCACGGATCAGTGTAAGATGGTGCTAAACTCTCTCCTGATGTGCCTGATATGAATCATGCAGCCTCGGATTTATTTTGTTTTTTATTCGCCCTAATGGTTCAGCTCAGTTTTTTTTCTCTAGAAGCCTGGAGGCCCCAAAAAGAAGAGCAGAAAGAAGTCTGCAGAAAAGACTTTTATAGTTTGCACATGAGTTATGCAGCAGAAAATCCAGCTTTGTGGCTCTTCCTCTGCAGCAGGCAGCGAGGCTTGCAGGAGCAGGAAGGCGGTCGGCCAAGCGGAAGAGGGGAATAAGCAGATTTATTAGCTTCAGCCTCCTTGCGGGGGCTTCCTTTCCCACCGTTGCAGCAGCTCTCCGCGCCTGGCCCCAGCTTGGGGCTCGGTATGGCGTCAGCTGATGGGGAACGTCATGCAAAGAGGTGGCATTTGGTTTCCCTCACCCTAAAGGGCACAGCACTTTGCAAACTGAATTATACATAGGTATCATTTAATTTACCTTCACAAATTAAGCTACCTCTAAGGTAGAAACCACAATCGATGCTTTTTGCAGTAGTACAGAAAGTTTTGCGTAGAAGCAATTGCGGGAGGGCTGGCGGCCGCGATAACCATCTGCAGGGTAATTTACATAAGCTAAATTAATTATCCAGCCCGCAATCTGCTCACAACACCTGGGTTAAACATCGCCACTCTTGTCAAAAAACGGCTGCGGAACCTTTACTGACCATACGCAGTCGGGATAATGACATGATGATTTGTAATTGAGAAAATAAATTTTTTTTTTTGGCAATACACAAGAGCAGCCATGAGATTCTCATGCACCAAGACTGAATGAGTGCTTGCTTGTGTCATGTTGCAAATCTCTTCTCGCAAGGGAAGACTTAATCTATCAGTGCTCTAGTTCAAATGACTTAATAGCAATGGTTTAGAAATACATCGGTAAGAAATCATATTTTATTAAGCAGTTGCTAGCTGTCACAGTATCTCTGATTCTGCTCAGTACTCCCAGAACTACTGTCTACAGAGCTCTGCGGTCACTTAGGTATCTTTCAGGATTTGGGTCCAGCCTTTTTATCAGCCTCCTGTCCTCCACTGAAAGTGGTCACTTTGAAAGCGAGTAGGATCTAGGTCTGACTAATGAATTTATTTACAAAGGCCTATCCTGGCAGTTGGAAATAGGAAGTTTTTTCTCTATTTTGAAGTCAGAGAAGCCACGGTTAGGTTAGCCTTAGACAGAGGTACGACGAACCCACCAGAACGTTTAGCTCCCAGGTCTGCCTGTGCTCACTTGGCCATACCAGCTCACAAAGTGAGAGACCCACTCCACAAAGCAAACTGTGGTTTTTCCAAAGGAAACAGAAGCTTTTATTACATAGGTATTTTGTTTTTCTGCTAGGCAACCCAGAATCAGAACTCCATGACATCCTTGAAGATATTTAAATACAAAATTTTGTTGCTTACGGAGTTTTTCTTTTACTTCACATTCTGTTTAATAGCTACAGCTTTTCTTATGACAAATAGGAAAATATTTCTCATTTGAAGGGCAGTCTGATTGAAGAGGCATTCTTACCGTTTTCCAGCTATGCTGAGGCCTAGTCCTCGGCCTGTTTTCTTTTGTATATCCACGTGGAAAATCTCCAAGTTTTCTTCGTCTTTGTAATGAGCTTCATCCCTGTAGACAACCAATTGCACCTTCTGCGGCGTCTGCCTCAGCGCCGTGATAGCTTCTTCATGGCTGGCATTCCGCAGATCGATCCCATTCACCTGAAATAATCAGTGTTTTCTTTCCAAATGACATATATGAATGATCTTTTCATCACCATACTTGCATCCTATCCTCGTGTGACAGGACAAATTTGTCAAGTTGATGTGCCTTGGCACTCTAATTTAGTGCTCTGATTTCCAGAGGGCTGAGCGCCTGGATTTCCTCTTGAATAATAGTTCACTACCTTGTGCTACTGCCTAGTTTAAATCACAATAATCCAAACATTTTGGCTTAGAAGTTTTGTGAGTGCTCTTTTCTTCTTTTTAAATGCTGGAGAAGCTCAAATGTGAGCATTGCTGCAACGCCCGATACCAGTCACCTCACGCTGAACACAAACGTTGTTCGTACCCTAGCTCTGCCTTTACTTCTCCTGCCGGAAAAGCTGTGCCTTGGGCCACCTGCGATGGGATGGTACCGTTCAATCTTGCCTGTGGGAAAACGGGCAGGGACAAACTAACTTCACGCACATCTAAACCCAAACTACCACCTCGAACAACACTTCATTTTTACAAGTACACAAAGCGTGATGTGCTCCTTTTCTGTATTGCTTATCTTTACAGGTTATCGGTGTTCAGACTCCTTCTCCCTCAGCTTCATAATGCACCAAGGCAAAAACACAGGGAACCAGAACCGTTAGCAAATGGCAACGGCAAAGCCCAGATAGGACATGTTAACTGGTTATTTTGCTTTGTTCCAATAGATGGCACACAAGACCACTCCTGGAGCACTCAATTACACTTCCCTTGCAAGAAAGGGAAAACCTCGGCAACTTGAAATTTAGTCTCTCGATTTTGCCAAGCCTGATTATACGGATGCCCTTTAAGATATTTGCCAATACTCTGTTGACAAAATCATCTTTTGTCAATATCAAAAAATATCAATGTTTAAATATTTTTAAAGACTTTTTAGGAAGTAGTATGAACTGTAACTGAATAACAATATAATGTTAATCTACTTATATTACATAAGTTATAAGGCAATTAAAATACTTCTCTCTTATTAACTATGCAAAGATATAAACATACACAACTCTACCTTAGGATAATTACATCTAATTTATTGTAATTATATGCGTTTGTACTAATTCTGTACACACGTATTTATATACTGCATTGCTATTTTTTTCCCTACTCAGACATCTATGTGTACTTCATCATACTAACATGAAACTAGTTCAGAGTTGTCCTCTTGCTTCATTAGTACAGCTTTTAAAAGCTGAAATAACAACAGTATTATGGCATGCAAACATTAGCACTTTCCTGTATGGTCAGTGAAGAATTAATTAACCTTCTCCGTTTTTATCACCTGGCTAATTATCATGCTCTGTTAATACACAGTTATTTATAAAACGAAAACAACATGCAGCCTCGACACTAAAAAAAATATTTTCAGTGCAAGAGCTGTAAAGACAACTCCCCAAGTACCCCTCTGTTTTTCTAACCCTACACACGAAAGCCTTAATGGCCATGCTGGGAATTTGTCCTGATCTGACAGCGAGGCGCTGCAAACAGCTGCGCGAGAACCCCCTTCGCCTGACGCACGCACTTGCATCTGCAAACCAACAGCTCTTCCTTAACCCTTGCCTCTCTACGTTTCCACGCTTGCCTCCCGGGAAAAAAGACTGTACGTTTCTTTGCAAAAATAGCGGGCAGCCAGGCCGCCCCAGCCTCGATTGCTTGCTCTGCGTTTCGTGAAGCTCAGCGCTTGGCTTACAAGCGGCACGAAGATCCTGAAGCTCCCGCAGCAGCGCAGGCCTCTGAGCGAAAGCTTAACCAGGTGAATAACGCTGAGCCGAACTCCGTAATTCACCAACTGCCTTGCCCAATTAAATTCAATATAGTCTCAATTTGTACCTTCAGCTTGTATGAATACATAAGGACGTATCAATTTGTTGGGATGTTCTTAGTGACAGAAGAGAAGCTTGAAGTACAGAGTCTACTGAATGAGCACCGTTTCCCTCACAAGAAACCGATTTTGTACTGAACACAAGTACCTGGGAGAAAACATATAAGGTATAAGCAAACACGTATGTACGGAGAGACCCTTCATAATTCGTTTACCTCGAGAATTTGGTCACCGGCCCAAAGCCTGCCGTCTCTAGCCGCTGCCCCTTCTTCGTAGACTTCGTGGATAACGATGGCGTCCTGCGGGAAGAGGGGAGCCGCGTCAGTCCTCCCCTGCAAGCACCCCACCGCGCACCCCTCCTCGCTTCGCGTGAAAAAGGCACCGCGCTGCGCGTCAGCATAAAGAAAACTCTCACATAGATTTTTCTAATATGTTGGGCTAACAAAAGGAGTGCCACAGCCAAAATACAGATAGCTAAGAAAAAGGGTAAAAGCATTTTGTTGACTGCTTCACGGTAGTCTTGCCGAGAACTTCTTATTATACTTCTATCATTTTTATACATTGGCATCAGCAATACGTGAACTCAGTGTGAACTATTACATTAATATCATCTACTTTTTATGATATTATTTAAAACCAGATTCTTTAGAGCTATGAATATTTTTAGGGACTTGGCAGAGATCTCCGCTTCAAGCAAGAGCTGAAAGCCTTGTGGTAAATAGTGCTGGTTAAATCTGTAAGAAATGAAATCCAGAAGAAACGAACAATGGCAAATGTTAGTTTATTACTGAGGTTGGAAAATGTAGGCAGTGGCAGATGTAGCTTCAGGGAAGGTTTCAGCGATTTAATCTTATTGCCAGCAATAGCTGTCCCCAAAGAAAAAGCATTACAAAGAACATACTGTTCTCCTGCTGGTGCTTTCCCTCTGCATTGTTCTGGTTTGGTTTTGTTTTGGGTTTTTTTTCCCCTGAAACAAATAGGTGAACATGCTGCCACGGTGCCTCAGCTGCGGTTCTGAGAGCGCTCAGCACTTCCCAAGCGACGGGCCACTTTGCTGCGCCGAGTTTGCTTTTCTCTTTGAAGTCAGCACCAAACGGCGAGCCGCAGAGAATACCTGGCTTCGCCGACAACTTTAAACGGCTCCGGATAAATATGTGCTGGGATTTTCAATTGGAAACGTAGATATCAGATATCCCGTGCTCAGGCGAACATAACCCACACAAACGCTATCGCTGAAGGCCCTTCACGGGCTTGCCGCAGAAGCGAGCGGTCTCTCCTGCGCGGGGCCCCGGGCTGTAAGCGAGCCAGGCGCGAGCCCCGCTGTGCCCGGCCTTCCCGAGGCAGGAGCGGGCGAGAGCTGCTGCGGGGGAACAAAGCGCCGTCGCGTTCGGAAAACTCCGTTCGATACGACATCTCTCACCCCAGAGCTAGCGCCCCCCACGTTGCCGTACGATACTCCACCAGCCCACACGGTGTAAGCTGAACAGAAAGAAAACTCAGATGCCCTTAAGCGAACACTGTGATGAAGCCACCACTGGGAGCATTATTCTCTTTCATTCCCACTGCACCTTATTTAATGATGTGCACTTGCATCCACAGCCCTTCCGCTGCTGCTAACGCACAGCACCGCTGCCATGAGCCTGGGGCTTTGATACATATACACCAGTCACTGAAAAAAAGCCTGAAGGATGTTAATCACAAATGGATTACAGCCGATACAAGCACCCCAGATGGGGGAAAAGAAGATCTCGATGTGCATAAATGAAGGCAAAATACTGTGAGCTGTGTACCAAGGTAATTAAGAAAAATGAAAACTGTTTGATTAAAAAACAAAAAATAAAAGGGCCACCACAGAGTTTTGCTGAAATAACTGAAGCAGCATTTACCAGTGGAACTGCATAACACATTCATGTCCACTCGGCAGCGTATCTGAACTTCTCTGCTATGCGTCTTAGATCTCTCTCTCCGTTTTTCTTGTTTTGTTACCTCTGCTTTAAAACTGGTGACCTAACACTAGTCCACACAAGAGACTCTTGTCTGGGTGAAAGCCAATAGGGTGACAGTGATGTGCATTTTTTCACCTGAGGCTGATCATGGATAGCTTTGAGAAAAAGCTGAGTTACTTTGTTTTAGGACTTCAATAGCACTTTTCATTTTTACTTTTTCAAACACTTTACAAACGGCTCACAAGATAATACAAAATATTGACCAACTTATTAAGAGAGCATCATTCAAATAGGGTACACTAGGGTACTGGATGAATAAGAGATTTGGTAGAAAAATTGCACGCAACCATGCAACGGCAAACTGGGCACGTACACAAGATGGTCAGATTCAGAACTTTCGGCTATATTTCCTAACCTTGGAACAAGGAACCTTCAATTATATTTCTTTAAGTTTGTTTTCCATCAGGGGACTGGAGCATCTCTCCTATGAAGAAAGACTGTGAGAGCTGGGCCTGTTCAGCCTGGAGAAGAGAAGACTGAGAGGCGATCTCATCAACATGAATAAGTATCTGAAGGGCGAGTGTCAAGAGGATGAGGCCAGCCTCTTCTCCATGGTGCCCAGCAACAGGACAAGAGGCAACGGGCGGAAACTGAACCACAGGAAGTTCCACCTAAACCTGAGAAAAAACTTCTTCCCTGTGAGGGTGACAGAGCACTGGAACAGGTTGCCCAGAGAGGTAGTGGAGTCTCCTTCCCTGGAGATATTCAAAACCCGCCTGGACGCGATCCTGGGCAATATGCTCTAGAGGACGCTGCTTGAGCAGAGAGGTTGGACTAGATGATCTCCAGAGGTCCCTTCCAACCTCAACCATTCTGTGATTCTGTGATCTGTGGTTGCTTTAAAAACGGTCAACAACTTAGAGCTACCAGCATTTACCAGTACTTTTGGACTAATACATGTAAAAAACACACATACCTAAAGTTTAGATTCAGGAACTATTAAGTATTATCAGCTTGAATAATCTGCATAATCTATTTGTAAAGGCAACAATTCAGTATTATTCCGGGGTTCTTGCTTGTGTTAGGAGCCAGACCAGCGTATAACTAAAAATACATATGGCATGAAAGGGAACATTCCTGTTAGATATGTTTTTAAGAAGGAAACATCTAATTGACATGCCAAAATACTGTTTTTCTTAACTAGCTTTTTTTTTTTTTTTAAACTAGTGTTGTTGAATCAGTCTTACCAAACAGATTAAAAACATAATGAAGTCCACGATGAACACTAAAGATTTTTAAATAGTTCATGAGCATAAATATGAGAAACTCACCTTCCCTAGCTTATGAACTATTATACATAGACATCTTTCTTCTTATACTTCTGGGATCAGCTCAATGCACATTTAACTCTGAAATAATCTTTTTCCATTGAATTTAATGTAATCCGGATAAAGCCCTACTTGTTTTGATCTTCCACGACAAACCATTCAGAAACTACCGATATTATTAGTCAAACATTTTTAATGATATCACTATTTTAAAGAAGTTTGAACATGCAATAGATATCTAATGTAATACTCTAGCCATCTAACAACCAAGCATCACTCTGTAATGACTCTATTAACATATTAATATATATAACATATTATATATAATATGTGCTTAAGTTATAATAGACATCTCTGGGCCTGAGAAACAAACTAGAATCTACTCTTCCTAAGTGAAGATGCACACTAGCAAGGATACTGTCTTTGAGAAAACATCATGCACCAAAAATAAAATGCAAGAGGTTGTCTAGTAGAAGCTTAAGGCACCATTGCTCGTGACAACGAATAAACAACCTTTGCTAGAGTCCTACAGCAAAAGAAACGAGCCACTCAGACATGTACAGATAGATATAGATGGCTGATATACAATGTGTGTCAAATCTATGAATGGACTGTACATTTAGCAAACCTGCAATGTGGTATATTAGAATGCATTTTGTACGGTTCAGATTCTAGCCATGGGACAGCTAAAACCAATTTCTATTGCTTTACCAGCAAAATACCACAGTTGTTATATAGTCTTGCTGAAAAAAGGAAAGGCACTCGAGTGATAATTCTCATCCTGATTCTCGCTGAGGAGGTTCTCGGCTGATGGGAGAAACACGCTGGTAGAAAAGGCAAGGGTAGAAAAGTAGAAGAGTTCATAGAGTCTCTTGGTCGGCATCTTGAAGAAGTGTAGAATAAAGACCACTTCACAGTACGTGCAAGATAACCCTATAAAAATTAGCACTCCATCTGAGACTGTACTTATGGCGGAAACAACTTGTAAAATGTGCAAAGTATGTTCTACATAGCAACCGTGTTTATCTAAGTTATGGGGATAGTCTTGAACACTAGGGGAATCTGGTCTCAAAAGCCCCCCAACTGTGGATATTTCTCCTGCTTGACTTATAACAACTTTAGAGACCCAGCAGGGTGAGGATATCAACTCACCCATCAGTAGAGTGCACAAACAGAAACGCTCCCTTAAATAATTAAATTCAGTTATGAGTGACAGCCTAATCTTTGTATCTTAAACATCAAGAACTGCTATGGTAGAGACCTCAGGCAATGCAGGCATTGCATTGTCTTGATTGAGCCTTGGGGAGAAAGGTGGCAAAGTCAGCTTCCGATTCAGGAAAACTACTGATTGAGTGAACCTTAAACCTGCAGGGTCATAAACAGGGGTGAGAAAGGCGCACAAGCTGCCTGGCTATGGGCTGGGACTGCTCACACATTTGCTGCAAGTTTACAGCATCTGAGCCGGTCTCTGTAATGTTTCTTTTCTTCTAGGCAGCCATTCTTCAGGACAAGCAGCAGCTTTCAAAGCAGGTGCCCTTTTACACTGAAAATCAGTAACCAGACTACTGAGATGCTTGTAAAAGCTGGGAGTAGAGGGCAAGGGAGTAAAAGGACACAAGATACGGAGGAGGCTCAAATTTCAAATATCATGGCTATTTGGATGAACTTTTATCGTCTGCTAAAAAGGTGGAACAGTATGGAGGAACTGGAGCAGAGAAATCCTCATTTATCTGGTGTAGATTGAATTGGACAAGAAAAAAAACAACCTGATGAAGAGGCTTCTTCCACTGAATATTACTTAACATAGATCATTCATGACAACCTATTTCCTTTAGCTGAACTAATATTTACTGTGGTTTGATGTTTATCTTCACCGTGCTATTGCAGTCTTCCAGGCACCTCTGCCCTGCCAGTCTACGAGAGCCAGCCGTCACTTTGATAGGACCAAAGGCACTTCACAGGAAGAAGGTGAACCGCTACACAACGAGGAACACAACCACCAGTGGCACAGAGCAAATCTGGTTA